ACGAACCGGCAGCAGCTCCACGCTAGCACCACACAATTCTTGTGGTACAGAAAACAATCACTACTTAATTTCTAATCACAACATTACATATCGCGGATGAGGGGAATTCGAGTCAGGAGACGGGACATTTGCGTACTACAGTAAATCGAAGGGCAACTGGGCAAGGCGAAGGGTTTTTGCTAACAACTTCGTTTCCTTGCTGTCAGCACTTTCTTCCTTTTGCAATAAAAAAGTGAAAAGCAAATAAAAAGAAAAAAACAATAGAAAATGAGGAGAAGACCGAAAATAAAATTAAATTTCGGTTTTGTTTCATCCCCAAACGTATCATAATTTTCATTTGAAGTAAAAAAGAAACTAACTTCAACAGTATCGGCGCTTTCAGTTTCATGGAGTTCAGCAAGGATCTGATGCAAATCGGGGCGGCTGAGCATTTCTTTTTCGATGTTCTCGCGCTCTTTACCTTCTTGGGCTTGTTTCAGAAGTGTACAATAGAGAATCATTTGCCGATGTTGTCGAAGCACTTTGATAAATTCAAACTGATCGAAGCCCAGCAGCAAAACAAGCTGATTCTCACAATCGCGGTCATCCGAAGCTTCCTGAAACACCAAAATAGTAACAACAAGCAAAGTTCATCAAACAGAATAACGAGAGCTAAAAATTATAGTTTTCCCATCTTTCCGCTTTCAGTTTTTATGTATTTTTGCATATATGCAAGTTCAAAAACGCATATTGGGTGTGTATGTGTATGTGTCTGTGTATCTGCGTGCTCACACTTTTTGTCACCCATTTTCAACTTAAAAATCAGAAAAGCTAGAAAGCTGAAATTTTAAAGGGATATTCCTCGCTCAAGAACAACCTAAATATTTTAAACTCAGTTCCAGGTATGCGTGATTCTCATGTACGAGCACTTAGAAGTTTTGGCAGGAAATCTGCCCACTGAGCAGCTGGGTCATTTTCAAAAAACGATCGTTAAATGGAAATTGTTCATTTACTTTATGCAAAATTTACGATGATCTACGCTACTGAGCGCAAAAGGCAGGTGTAAAGCAACAACCACTCATGCAGTTAACGACCTGAGTACTTCAAGTCCTGTGCAAAAACGCATGATCGCACCGGCAAACCTGCTGCATTCCAGTCTGGGCTGATTTCTTGCAAAAACCAGCAAGATTCCTAAGAAAGACCCCCTGTGAAAAGCGACTCG